ACCATCCCCACCTCACAAACACACACACACAGATCCAGTCCCAGAACCTACTCTCATTGACTTCAGATTGCACTGAACCCAGTCTGGCTTCTTTTGAGGCAGTAGGAAGGTTCTAGAATCTCAAAGGCCTCAGGCCAAGAAAACCCATGCCAGTAGCCCAAGAAAGCTGCTGGATAACCTCAGGACCAGCGGCCCTGGGAGTTACTGCCAGCAAGGGAGCCCACCAGTGTCCTTCCAACTCCAGAAAGAACCAGACACTCACCCGTCAGCATCCCAATGCCTGAACGCTGGGAAGTTAGAAAAGTATCTCAGGTGGCCAACAGTAAGAAAGATACAACTGGCAGGCTGGCAGCGGCCACCTGAGCTCTGAGCGGTGGCCTTGGCAAAGATCTGGGTCCCCACCCCTGACGTGACACAGACCTTCAAGGGACAACCCTCAGGAGTCTGTCTTGAGAAGGACTCCTGGAGACCACCACCCAGATGCCGTAAAGGGGCAGGCCAGCAGCCCCCACAAGCTCTGTGACTCCACCATGCCATCCCAGCCACTTTGCCTGCTGCCTCCCACCCCAACCCAAGCCGCCGTCACTTCCCACACCCAGGTCTCTCTTCCTAGGGAACAGAGGCTCAGCCTTTTTGTTCCCCCAGGAAGGAGAAGGAGGCGGTCTTCTACAGCTGACACCTGAGGACACTAATGCTTGGCTTTGATGTCCGGTGGGGGCAGCAGCAGGGTTCCAGACAGGAAGTCAGCAGAGTCAGGGGGCCCGGGGATAAGGGGCCCCAGCAGCCACTCAGGAAGCACTCTCTGGCATGAGGCCCTTGGTAGGAGTGGTCTTTCCTTGTGACATCAAACCCCCTGAAAGGTTTGTGTCCCCACCCGCTTTCTGGAAATCTGAGGCCCTCTGAGCCCCCATCAAGTCTGAGACCCCAGGAGAATGGTTCTAGAAGGAAGAGACCAGCAGTGGTCTGTGATCACAGGTGCCCTGGGCTACTGTGCCATTTTCTTCCCAGCACCAAGCTGGGACCCCTAGACTGAGACAGAGGAGAGGAAGAGGGGTGGGGGCAGCAGAAAGAGACCTGCATCTGGAGACAGAAGGAGACATAAGAGAGGTTTGATCATCAAAACACACACCAAGCAGCACCCCAAACAGAAGGCTTGGGGAGAGGGGCAGGCCAGAGCGGAGATGGGTACACCCTGCAGGAGGGTCACTACAGAACCCCGACCCCGAGGCCGCCACTGGACTTGGCATCTTGTGCAAGAGACAGGCCCCCTCCACATATCAACTGCCCCTCCTGTAACTTCCTCGAGCAGAGGGGAGGCAGGCAGCCCAGGGCTCAGAGGGCCAGAAATTCCACTTACATTGAGCTCCGACTGCCCAGGCTGCTCCCTGCCCCCACGCTCCACCCTTGGGGCCAGGCTGGGCGGCCCTCTGGGCTGGTGAAAGGGGTTTGCACTCCACTGACCTCTGTTGTGCCTGGTACGGGGGGAGGGAGGCAAGGGGTTTTCAAACTCTGTATGGCAGAGGGGAGGGGAGGCTGCCTGGCCACTTGAATGGCGACCCTGGGGACAGTGGCAAGAGGCCTCCTGGGAGAGATCAAAGGACCAACGGCTGCCCTTCCAGCCGTGGCCGGCCTGGCTATTCACAACACTGCCCGCTCAGCCACATCTCACCCTACCACCAGCTCCTCTGGGAGGGAGGTGTCGGAGCCAGCCAGCCCACCAGAGTCCTAGGCAACCCCAGCACCAGGCCTGGGGCCACAGGAAGGAATGAGATGTGCCCCCCTACCCAGTCATGTACACATGGGGCAGAGCGACTGGCAGATACAGCATGAAGCCCCTGGACAGTAATGAGCCTCAAAAGCCACAGCAGCGTCCAGTCCAGAAGGCCTCCCTGGACTGCACAACCCTGCTCACACATCCTTCCCCTCACCCAGGAGCAAGGACAGACTCCGATCTTTCCAGGTGAATGCTTCCTCCCTCAGCCCAGCCCAGCTGCTGGCCGAGAACTGGGATTGCCTCTGTTGGCTGCTCCCGGCCCCTAGCCCAGCTCGGCCTGAACAGCTTCAGGGACCCTCTGAGTGGCTCAGTTGCTGAAGGGATCACCCCTCCCTGCCTGGCTCTCAGCCTCTGATGTCACCCCCTTGCTGCCCAGCAGAGGGACTCTGGGCCTGCCAGCCTCCTACCTCCAGGACTGGCCTTTGTCACCTGTGAAACAGGTTGTTGAACAACTAAGCCACTGATTCCATTTTCATCTCATGTTAGGTACGGGGGTAAGCCCTCTCTGTTCATGTTCTCTCTCTCTCTCTCTCTCTCTCTCTCTCTTTCAGGCTAACCAGGCTCCTGCAAAAGCCGGTGCCTCCTCCGAAGCCAGCACTTGCCCAGGTTCGCTGACTGCAGCCACCACAGCTGGCCCCCCACCCATAGCCCCATGCCTTGCCCACCATGCCCTGCTCTCACTGGCCCTGCCTTCCCCCGCACCATCCACACAACCAGGAGCACACGCCGGGCAGCACCCTACCTGCAGGTGCTGCCCTTCTGCTTGTCTCCTCCCATGGCTCAGGCTGCCTCACAGGGACCCTCCTGCTCCTCCCTGGTCCCCGCCAGCTGTGCCAGCTGCGTGGCTCTGCCAATGTCAGCCAGCTCCCTGGTCCTCAGTGTCCTGTTCCCCCATGGATGAGAGGAAAGTGATGATTTCTGCCTCCTTCCCCTGGCCCTGCAGTCAGTGCAGGGAAGGGTGGCCATCCAGAATAGCCCCAACACAGGCTGGGGTGCCTCTGTCCACCCCCACACCCTTCTCATCGTCTACACTATCAGGGAAGTCGGACAGGGGCAGGACCAGACTCTGCTGCCATTGCTGGAGTCCCCTCTCTTCATGATCTTGTAAGCTCCAGGGCCATCACATCACTCTCCCTTAGCGAGGCAGGGCCACCTCCCGAGGCTGCCTGGGATCGCCAAGTTCTACCACAGCTGCGAGAATCGCCAAGTTCATCCAGTGTCAGCTCTGACTCCCTTCTTCACCAGAGGGTCCCCAAAGCTTCAGTGGCAACTTAGCCTCTGCTCACATACCCCTAGGGATGGGGCACTCACTACCTGTCGAGGCCTCCTCTCTCACATCTAGACCCCCCTCGTACATGCAAAATGCCTCCTCGCACTGAGCTGAAGCTGCCCCTGCAGCTGCCATTCCAGTCCCTTCCTTTTCCCTCCCACTGTCCAGAAGCTCCCACTCAGCTCTGCCTATGCTGTGCCTCAATTCCCCAAACAGCCCTGGAGCCTGGAGCTGCTTCCCACAAGCTGCCTCTAGACCCCTCTCCAACTGGACTAGCTCCTCTGGACGCAACCCAGTTGTCACTGTCCACCTTAAAGCTTAATAGCTTTCCCCTTCCTCCCTCCTCTCCTTGCAACTCCTCAGGGCCACTGTTGTGGCACAGTATGCTAAGCCACTGCTTGCAGTACTGTCATTCCACATGGGTGCCAGTTTGAGTTCCAGCTGCTCCACTTCCAATCCAGCTCCCTGCTAAAACACCTAGGAAAGCAGCAGAAATGATCCACATATTTGGCACCAGCACCCACACTGGAGGCATGGTTCCTCCAGTTCCTCCAAGGTTCCTGGTCTCAGTCTAGCCCAGCTCTGGCTGATATAGCTAACCAGTAGATGTCAGAGAGCTAACCAGTGGATGGAAGATATCTCTCTGCCTCTCTTGCCAATCTTTCAAATAAAGCACCTTAAATGGCCGACAGTGCTCAGTAAATGATATGACCAGCAGAGAATGAGCTGCCCAGTCAAGACCAACCCGCCTGTGTTCTGACCACACCACACGCTGACAGGCAGACACCAGGTGCCGACCAGAGGTAGAGCGGGTGCAGAATGCCACACAGCAAGGCAATCCCATCTCTACACAGTGGCAAACGACATATTAAATTTTCTTTTTCTTTCCTTCCAAAACCTCTTGCCTGGCTCGCCCAACCCCTGGCTTGTGAGGGAGCCTTGCCTAAGCCTTCTCTCTCCGCCTTGTGCAAACAGAGCCGGCCCCAGCTGGGTCACATCTGCTGCGAGCCCAGGTGACAGTGGGAGAAGAAATGATAGCATCAACCTCATAAACCAACAGAGAAGGCGGCCCAGCAACCCGCCGAGTTAAAGACTTCCCACATCTGCTTCACAGGCAGGGCAGGGAGGTGAGGCAGGGCTGCCCAGCAGGGCAGGCCGGTCTGGAATCCAGTCCACACCCTTCCGAGGACAGAGGCCCCAGGCTGCTCATCACTGGTGCTGAAGACGGCCCAGTTCTAGCCACATGGTCTTCAGCTTCCAGGACAGGACTGAGTGGAGATTTCTATCCCCACAGCTCTGAGTATGGCCTGGATTTTGTGTCTGATTTTTTGTTTTGTCCTCTGTTTCCTAAGGTTTTACGGATTCCCAGGGGATTATTTCTCCTCTCAAGCCCAGGACTGTCTGGGAAGCCCAGCCAGAGGAAAGAATCCAGGCTGAGGTCCATCTGCATGCAGGGAAGAAGTGGATGGCTACAGAGGCCCAGGGTGGCAGCCAGCGCGTGCACACACACACTGTCACCTGTCATCCCCTCTGCCCCCCAAGAGGCCCTAGCATGCTGTCCTCCAAGGCTAAGGGCAAAGAGAAAATGAGGAGTTTCCTCTCGGGTAGCCTCTCAGGGAGTCCACCCCACTGCCACTCCTGCAGGACAGGGAGGTGGTGGCTCTCTCTCCCGCAAGACATCCCAACAGGCGGGCTCAGGTGGCCAAGCTCGGACTCCTCCTCCCCAGGGATGAAGTCCGTGTCCCAGGCAGGTGCCTGTCTGCCCTCCCAAAGGGCTCAGCCCTTCTCTGTGTCCACAGAAATGACAGGCAGCGGGACTCTGGTCCCCTGCAGGAAAGAAGTGCTCACTCACAGGGACCGGCTTTGCTTCTGCCTCCTACCCACCCCACCCCCACCCAGTACCCCAAAATAAATGCCATCAGCATTCCCCCAACAAAAGAGAGCCTCGGGGTCTACCTTCATCTCTCTTGCGCTTGTTGGTGTCGGCGCTGGGGGAGGTGATGCCGAGGATGCCGCTGATGGAGTAGGAGGAGCCAGCCGAGTCTGTGCTCACCGACGACACCTGCGTCACAGAGCCTGTGGACACTGTGCAGAGGGAGAGAAGTGGTCAGAACTGGCAGGAGGCTGGGGTCAGGGCAGACAGCTGCAGCATTCACCGTGCCCTGGGCAGGGTAGCCTCGTGCCCTGCGCAGGGTAGCCTCGGCGCTGGGGACAGCACCTCTGCTTGGTGCAGGAGGCCATCGAGGGAGACAAAGGGGACATATGGTGCAGAAAAGCACCCTGAAGAGCATGAGCAGAAAGGGCTGAGGGTCCATCCCTGCCTACTGAGTGTGGATGGAGAAGACAAGGAGTGGGATCTGAGGCACCATATCAGCCAGAGCTGGGAAAAAAGTGACCTAGAAGGCCTCTTTCCTCAAGTTCATGACTCACTCACACACAGCTACGAAGTGGATGCCCTCTTACTGTTCCTCGACCACTGTTCTCTTCCATCCCACCTGGATTTTATTTCTCCTGTTCATGGTGATGATAACAAGTTTCTATCTGACCCAGGCCTCTGGGGTAGGATCTCCCTGAACTCTGCAAACAGGTTCATAACCCAGATAAGGGTCTCACATATGAAGCAAGGGAGCCTAAGGCTCCCATCAGCATCACAAGCTAGAAGAGACCCGAGACCGCCACCAACCTGCTCCCCTCTAGTGAACAGTGAAGGGGACAGGTGGGCAGGGTTTCTCATTGGGTGGCTGCAGCCTTCGAAGCTGCTACTATTTACCCGCACTGGTTAAAGAACAAGGCTCAAAGCTAAGCACCAGACCTGGGCCTCCTCAAGTCCAGCTCTGCCCCCAGGGGGTCTCTAACTTCCCACGCCCAAGATCTAAATGGGAGAGGGGACTTGGCTGCAAGTTTCCAAGGGAGAGACAAGTCCATCCCCAAGACCTTCTCCAGGTGTGCGGCTGAACTTCCTTGGCTCTTTGTAACCTTCAGACCATTTCCACACATGCTGTAGCCGGCAGGAGGCTGATGGAGCCACCTTGGACTCCAGACATGACCAGAAGCAGCACTGGTGGGAGACGCTGTTGGCCGCTTGCCTTGCCAGCACACTCGTCTTCCTGCTCCTGAGCACCTGGGCGGCCCAGGGCCTCTTTTCTCCCATGTGAGTTTTCTTTTAGAGCTTCCTTAAGAGACACAGAAATCGTTCACTTCTCTTTTCCTTCACCAGAAACAGCACCTTAAAATAGATTTATGCAAAAATCTCACGGCCTTTTCCGTATGAAGGTGCAATGAGCACAGGAAGAAGGAAGATCCCTGACCACTTGGTCCTTTCAACAACAAGTCACACGGCACCAGGGCACACCAGCTTGCTGGCATTTGTTTTAACTTTTTATGCTGTTCTTAAAAGACCCAGAGCCCAGCACCAGTTCCTCCAGGTTCTCCCACCATGGACTGGGACTAGTTATTCCATCTCTCTAAATCTACAGATTCTTCACTTTTTAGTAAGTTTATAGACCAGAAGGGGCTGCAGGAATAAGCAGTGCTGTTTCAAATTTTTTGTGACAACCAAGCCTTCTGCTGTCCGAGAGAGTTTTCCCTCTGGACCAATGGCAAGAAAAGCCTCACCTTTTCCTGGTTTGATTTTCATTGCTCCGTGACCCGGAACAGTTCAAGCCACAAGTGAAAACTCAACACAGACATTCACCCAAGAATCGGGTGGTTCTCTACCTGCTTCTTGAGCTTTGTTTCAGTTTTGTGATGTGTGGGTCTGTTGTGTTTCCCCCACTGGATCGAGGAGCCCTGGGGAAAGCTGATCTTGCCCCTACTGGTTCCTACTATAGCAGAGTCTCAGTGGACACTTTCTGAACAGACTCCTAAATACAGAAACCTCTCATGGCAGGACCAAGTGTTCCTTGTCAACCGTGGAAGAGCAGGGAGCTCCCCCTGAGAGCACCTGATCTGTGTCCCTTTATCCACAAAGGCGGAAACCAGAGATGCCAAGCCCTGAAGAGTCATCCACACTTCGCGGAGTGAATTCATTGCTGAGCTGAACTCTAAGCCAGGCCCCGGCGGTGGAGTCCTCAGGAGGTTGGAGATCAACAAGGCCCGTGAGTGACGAATACATGGGGCGCCACCCAATGTGAGGCATGACTACACGGGACTGACAACCAGTACGGGGTCCCAGGCCTGCTGCATGAGCCTCCACTCCCATACAGCAGGAATCCCTGGCCTCCCAGGTAAGTTCACGTATTTCCTTTATCTTACCTGGAGAAAGAATTCACCTTAAACAGACACATCTCACAGCCTCTGAAGGGAAGGCAAGGCAAGTGTCAGAACTCCCACCCCTACACGTCGGGGTCCCTCGCCACACTGCACCCAACGCACATCAGAAACCCCATCGGCGGCCCTCAACAGTTGGCAGAGCACATGAGACGGAAGCGAGAGAGACCCAGAGAAAAGAAAGTTTGGGAAGTTTTGCCACATCTTCACTCAAGACTGCAGGTGCACAAAGACTTGTGGAAGGGCTGGTTGATTGAAGAAAAAAACACATTCAAAACTACTTACTGACTAATGATGCAGAAAATGTTATGAATAAGTATCCCTTTTCTTGATTTATTACTTTAATTATCTGACATTCTATAGACCCCCATTAGCGGATTTTTTTTGGCTTAGATTTCAATTTTCTGTCTCATGGTGAAAGCTATTTATCATAATAATCAGTAAAATTCAAAACCTTTTAGCAGTATTTATAAAATTCATTTACCAGGTTCAGCCCTTGGAGAATGACAAAGAAGGCGCATTAGTACGCGTGCCGAAGTGTTTTATGCAGAATTATCTGTCCATAAGAATGATTAAAAGTTCTTTAGAATATTTGGAGCCCATTAGAGTTTTTAAAAAAAAAATTTTTTAAGTTCTTACCTATGCTGTGACTGGAAGCTGGGACCGGCTGATTGGGTGGCTGCTGTACTTTCGTCCGGATGATCCTGCAGCAGTCAAGGGGAGGAAAAAAAAGCAACAACAAATGTCTGCTTACCACCAAGAAGGAGAGGGGAGCACAGGAGCAACGCACAGACAACTGGGAACTCCATAGCCAGGCTGAGCCGTGCAGCAGCTGGGATGAGCAGTGCACTGAGGACTTGGGTAGGGAGTTGGGAGCCTGCAAGCGTGACAGACTAGTTCTAACGTGGTGTCTTGGAGTAACTTGTATGTCCTCTGGGGGCCTTGAGCCCCTCTTCTGAATAACGCTGTATAGGAGGAGGCCTCTTTCCCGATGGAGTTCCTGTCTAAGACACACACTGAGTGACTATACAAGTTCCCTCCTCTGTCTCATGCTCAGCTTCTGTGGGACAAAGGAACGTCACCAGGTGACCCATCTGCCCTCTGGAACCACAGAAAGCCCGCTCCTACCGGTGGCACATGGGCAAAAGAGGGGTGAGTATGAGTCACTGTGTAACAGAAAGATATAAAACTTCTTGCCAAGGAGCACAGGGCTGGCATCTGGGGATCCTGCCTTGTCTTTCCTGCCACTTTGTACCCCCATCTGATATGAACTTGATCATAATCTTGAGCACCTCCATTTCTTTCAGAACCACAATACAATGAGGGAGTTGGAACAGACTACTCTTGACTTATTTCAAGTCATCAAATCCCTTTTTAAAGATCTACTGGGGCCAGTGCAACGGCTCAACTGACTTAATCCTCTACTTGCAAGGGCCAGCATCCCATATGGGCACAGGTTTGAGTACTGGCTGCCCCACTTCCCATCCAGCTCCCTGCTTGTGACCTGGGAAAGCAGTGGAAGATGGCCCAAAGCCTTGGGACCCTGCACCTACATGGGAGATCCTTCTCCTGGCTTCAGATTGGCTCAGCTCTGGACACTACAGCCACTTGGGAAGTGAACCAGCAGTTGGAAGATCTCTCTCTCTCTCTTTTTTCTCTCTCTCTCTTTCTCTCTGACTCTCCCTCTCAACTTTCTCAATAAAATAAAATATTTTCTAAAAAAAATTAAAATCTATCCAAGCCTAGTGTGAAAGAGATGACCACATGGCGTCTCCTTTGCCCTGGGACGCTCGGAGGGCCTCAGCAGAAACTTGGGCTCTAAGAAGCCTTGTCTGGTAACTTCCAACTGGGACAATACATGCGCCCTCTATGATCCAGCACTTCTGACAGGGCAGAATAGGGCCAGCTCCCTTGGGGAGCTCCAAGAAAGTTCCTGCCCTGGCATTTGGGAGATGAATGCTATGTGAGAAAATGTTCACCTCTTTAGAAAAGTTCCTCTCCAACATCAAACTGTTATCTTTCAAAAGAGTGATTTATCAGAGAGGGTCCTTTCCCCCTCATTAAAAATAAGTGATAAAGGTGTGGCTGTTGTGGCACAGAGGGTTAAGTAGCTGCTTGGGAGATCCAAATCCTGAGTCACAGTACCAATTTGGATAGGAGTTCTGGTTGTTTCACTTCCAAGCCAGCTCCCTGCTAATGTGCCTGGGAAGGCAACGGAGGATTCCCAAGTGCACAGGTCCCTTACCACCCACATGGAAGACCCAGACAGAGTCCTCAGCTTCTGATGGTGGCCTAGCCCAGCCCTACAGGTGTTTGGGGAATGAGCCAGCAAACAAAAAACACAACATGCACCTTTCTCTATTTCCTTCTGTCTCTGTCACTCTGCCTTTCAAATAAATAAATCATTTTATAATAAAAAAAATTAAATATGTGCTCACTGAAGACTATTTGGACAGCATGGAAAGGTATAAAGAAGATATCTAAAAATTACATTTTGGTATTTCCTATATGACAACTCTGCTGTGCATATCTAGAAACATCTACTTTCTCTTAATAATGTCAAGGATTCTATCATGTGTGCCATTCTGTATCTTGCTCTATGCACACAGTATTTCATGAGGAGTTTTTCCACATTCTAGACCATCATACCTGCAGTTCATTTCAAGGCTACATCAGGCCTCTGGATAGGGTAGCAGGTGCTACCCCTCAAATTCACTGGACAAAGCCCAGCCCTAGCTGACCTTACAGCTGGTGCCGGATGCCCTGAAGGGGCTGATCACCCCACAGCCTGGCCCCGGGCCTTTGTCTTTTTGTGATCACTGGCTGGAAGGGCTGCCTGCCATGCACACTGCAACATTCAAGCCACTTATTTTAACTAAGAAAACTGAGTGTTTTGGACAAGGACCTGGTCTTCCCCCCAGCTGGAATCAAGGGGGCATCTGATCTAATCTTTGTAGGGCGTATGTCACCTTTCCTGTGTGTGTGTGTCCAAAGAGACCTATCCAGATACAGGAAGATAAGGCAAAACATATCTTCTGATATAAACAGTTCATTTCCATATATCAACTTGTTATAAAACATTTCAGAACTATTTCCCACTAGAGTTTCACTGACAGCCTTAACTTTTCAAAGTATCATCTGGTTTGTACACAAGCAAAGCAAAGCACACCTTCCCCACTTTGAAAATATTTGTAAATCATGAGTGCTGAAGCATCCCGTCAGTTGCTGCAATCAGGGAGCGTGGCTGTTACGGTTAGCATGCAATCTACCACCAGCCTGCTGAAGTCTGGAACTCCTCCTTGCGATGAGCCAGCTCCACGGCCTTGGGTAAACAACCTCACCTGGCCTTGCTCGGTCTGTCTGTCCATAAAGCGGGACCAAGAAGCCTTCCTGCCTCGCAAGGAAATTATTAGGATGAAGTAAATAAACGCCTTAAAGGAGCATTGCTTTTTAGTAAGCACTCACTAAATACTGAAGGTTATTTTCTGTGTTGTTTTCATAAAGATAAATGACCAATCACCACCTTGAAATATTCATATTTCTCACCTGTGCTTTAAAAAGCACACAGTGCCCACTGGGAAGCTGCAGGGCTGTGGAAGTAGCCACAATGCCCCTCTATTTTTTTTTAATTTAATTATTTATTTATTTGAAAGTCAGAGAAAGACACACACACACACACACACACACAGCACTTCATCCACTGGCTCACTCCCCACATGGCTACCTCCTCTCTATTATAAGGCTGCAGTAGAGCTGTCCTCTATGGGAGGAATCCCAGAATGGTAAGGAAACTTCCAAAGTTAACCGCAGGGGTGAGATTCTGCTTGACTGCTTTCCACCAGCAGGTAAAAGTGAGGGGCAGCAGCTTCCAGTGGGATGACATGATTGTGGGCAGAGGGAGGTTGCAACTGAAACGCACCAGTTCTACTAAGCTGGGTTGGCACCATGGTGTAATGGGTTAATTCTCTACCTGCAATGACACCAGCATCGCAGGCTGTTTTGAATCCTGCCTCCTCCACATCTAATCCACCTCCCAGCTGACGCACCTGGGAAAGCAGAAGATGGCCCAAGAGCCATCCGACACGGGAGACCTGAATAGAGTTCTAGATTCCTGGCTTCAGCTGGTCCAGCCCTGCTGTTAAGACCATTTGAGGGCCTGGCACAGTGGCCTAACAGCCGAAGTTCTCACCTTGAACATGCCAAGATCCCATATGGGCGCCAGTTCTAATCCCAGCAGCCCCACTTCCCATCCAGCTCCCTGTGCTTCCCTCCAGCTCACTGCTTGTGGCCTGGAAAGCAGTCAAGGATGGCCTAATGCCTTGGGACCCTGCTCCCGCGTGAGAGACCCAGAAGAGCTCCAGGCCCCTGGCTTCGGAATCAGCTTAGCACTGGCTATTGCAGTCACTTGGAGAGTGAGTGAATCATTGGACGAAGATCTTCCTGTCTCTCCTCCTCTCTCTCTCTCTCTATATATATATATATATGACTTTGCAATAAAAATAAATAAATAAAAATGCAATTTTAGGGGTCTGGCGCAATGGTGTAGTGGTTAAGGTCCTCGCCTTGCACACACTGGGATCCCATATGGGCACCGGTTCTAATCCCAGCAGCCCCGCTTCCCATCCAGCTCCCTGCCTGTGGCCTGGGAAAGCCGTCAAGGACGGCCCAAAGTTTTGGGACCCTGCACCCGCGTGGGAGACATGGAAGAGGCTCCTGGCTTCGGATTGATACAGCACCAGCCTTTGCGACCGCTTGGGGAGTGAATCATTGGACGGAAGATCTTCCTCTCTGTCTCTCCTCTCTGTATATCCGCCTTTCCAATAAAAATAAAAATAAATCTTTCCAAAAAATGCAATTTTAAAAAAAAAGATCATTTGAAGAATAAACCAGCAGGTGGAAGATTTCTCTCTCCCTTTCTCTCTGTCTCTTTCTCTGTAATTCTGCCTTCCAAACAAATTAACATAAAATAAATCTCCTTTTAAAACAAGCATGACAAGAGCATACTCAAGATCTTCTCCAAGCCACTGTCAGTCTAACTCACTGGCACTCCGCACTTGGCGAGCATGCCCCCCGACCCTGGCTGCCATGAGAACATTCTCCATGATCCAGCAGAAAAAGCAGCTCAGCCAGGAACCTACTCTGACCAAAGGGAGAACTAAAGCCCTGAGTGCTTAAGGGACCTGGCCAAAGTCACACAGCAAACCAGCCCAGACCCCCAGCCCCCAAGCCTGAGCACTCTCCTTCGAGCCACATCCAGAGGACATGGCCCCTCTGCTGAAGATTTCCTAGGTGAGTTCAACATCTATGCAGAACTTGAGGATGAGAATTCCACAGCACTTCTGGTTCTGCAGTCATTTCCACACCGCTCTGCCTCCTTCAGAGCTAGTCCCCTCACCATCCTCCTCCTAGCACCCCTCACGGTCTCACAGTTACACTGAAAGAAAATCATGGCACCCTGCAAAGGAAACAGCGACACAGGGCTGAGGAGGGATGCCCACGCTAACAGCACAGACCAGGGGCCATGAAACCCGGGGTGCTACAGAGTGGAGCCAGGAGGGAGCCTGCAGGCTGTGGCAGCAGGCTGGTGACTGATAGGAGGAGAGAGAAAGACGGGTCTGCATGCTCAGAGGCTGGGAGCCACATGCTCAGATTAACAGCAGAATTAACAACCTGTCTCGCCCAGGTCATCCCTGGTACCAGAACACTGCATAGCACATTTCCTTCTGTGTGAATGAGTTGCTAATATTTGTAAGCTGGAGTCTTCTATACGTACTTCTGGCTTCTTTCGAGAAACCAGAACACCCAGTGTGACACAACAGCTCCCCAAGACAATCACTGCCTCCCCAGTCCTGGAGGGGAAAGAGAAAGGCAATGCCTTGTGACCACCACCACTGAGCTCCCGACAGAGCCATGGCACCGGATTGCAAGAAAGAAGACCTGGGGCTGACGTGGTGGTCCACTCCCACCTGTGGCACCGGCATCCCATATGGGCACTGGTTCAAGTCCCAGTGGCTCCACTTCCAATCCAGCTCTCAGCTTCTGACCTGGGAAAGCAGCATAGAATGGCCCAAGTCCTCGGGACCCTATACTTGCGTAGGAAACCTGGTGGAAACTCCTAGCTCTTGGCTTTGATAGGCTCTCCCAGAGGCAGAACAGTGGCCCAGCACATATTGTCCTCAAGATGCTCTCCAAGCAAACTGAGTCAGGTCCCAGCAGGTCTCCTACATGCCTGGCAGGGCCTGTTCAATGCTGCTTGATCCCATGCCAGTTCTGGTTTCCCAAGTTGATGCCCTTGAAAACCATAAGATGGTACACACTCTGAGGAACAGACCAAGCTGCAGCCACAAGAACAGCCCCAGATCCAGCCACCATGCCGTCGCTAGTCACGTCTAGGCCAGAGGCAAGGCCTCTTAAGCACTGTAACATTAACCTGACAAGTGTTTAGAAGCTGCGTCCAAACTGAAAACCAAGCAGAGCTTTACCTTGTCTACGCAAAACAGAATGGGAGGAGAGGCAGATTCCTGATCTTTTTTTTTTTTTTTTTAAGATTTATTTTTACTTATTTTTAGTGGAAAGGCAGAGTTACAGAGAGGAGGAAAAAGAGAAAAAGGAAGATTTTCCCTCCGATGGTTCACTCCCCAAGTGACTGCAACAGCCAGTGCTGCACCAATCCAAAGCCAAGAGCCAGGAGCTCTTCTGGGTCTCCCATGCAGGTGCAGGGTCTCAAGGTTTTGGGCCATCCTCAACTGCTTTCCCAGGCCACAAGTAGGGAGTTGGACAGGATACAGGGCCACTGGGATTAGAACCAGTGACCATATGGGATCCTGGTGCGTTCAAGGCGAGGACTTTTAACCACTACACCATTGTGCCAGGCCCACGGTCCTGGTCTTAATGAGCCTTCACTAAAGATAGCCACAGTGAGGGGCCAGCGTTGTGGAGCAATGGGCAGATCATCCTGGCATCCCATGTCAGCACCAGTTCAAGTCCTGGCTGTTACACTTCCAATCTAGCTTCCTGCCAATAATCTGAAAAAAGCAGCAAAAATGCTCCAAGTGCTTGGACCTGTGCACTTGCGTGAGAGACCCAGATGAAGCTACTGACTCCTGGCCAGCCCCTGCCTTGTCAGCCTTTTAAGGAATGAAGCAATGGACAGAAGGTCTCTCTCTTTCTCTGTCATTCTCTCTGTAACTCTAACTTTCAAATAAACAATAAGTACTTTTTTTTAAAGTTTTAATTAGAGAAAAGAGTGCAATGAGGAAGCAGCAGGCATGCCTGGACACAGGCAATGAGAGGCACAGCTGTGAGGGCCTGAGATGGAGTCGGTAGGACTGTTGGGCTCAGCCTTTCTTCTCTCCCAGCTTCCCTGTTCTCAGCTGCAGAGCTCTACAGGGCAGCGGCAGGACAAAGCCCTTCTCTTACTGCCTGGTCACCTCTCTCCTTCCTCCAAGCCCCATCCAGGTCTCAGGACAAAGACAGGCCTAGAGGGCCACAGGAGGCCCCCAACACGCTGCCATAGCTACGGCACGGGCACCTGCCGACCCATGACATCCCCGTCCACCCCTGTGCTGCTTGTTCAGGGCCTTTGCAGACCTTGGTGCACACCCGCAACCATGGCTTTCTTTGCTTCTCTTGTCCCTTTCTATAACCCTCTGTAGCAAACTCATTTCACGAAAAGACTGCAATTTCCTACTAGGAGGGAGTGTGAAGGGTACAGAGCTCACATGCTCATTGGTTTGATATGCTAGAAACACATCCAAATACGTACATCACAAAGCAATTTTTTGATGCAAGCATTTGGTGTCGTGGTTAAGATGCTGCATGGGGCGGGAGGCAGCGAGGTAACCTAGCAGTTAAAGTCCTCGCCTTGACTGCACCAGGATCCCATATGGTTCCAGTTCGTGTCCTGGCAGCTCCACTTCCCATCCAGCTCCCTGCTTGTGGCCTGAGAAAGCAGTCAAGGACGGCCCAAAGCTTTGGGACCCTGCACCTGCATGGGAAACCCAAAAGAAGCTCCTGGCTCCTAGTTTTGGATTGGCTCAGTTGCAGCTACTTGGGGGTGAATCAGCAGATGCAAGATCTTCCCCTCTGTCTTTTCTCTGTATATCTGACTTTCAAAATAAATAAATTTTAAAATTAAAAATAAACATATCTTTAAAAAAAAAAACAGATGCTGCCTAGGGGTCAAGATTCCATACAAGAATGTCTGGGTTTCAGTTCTGACTCCACCCTACACCCAGCTTCCTGCTGATACGCCCCGTTGGGAGGGAGTGGGAGACAGTACATAATGGCTCAAATACTGGGCCTGTGCTATCCTCTTGGAAGACTTGGATTGAGTCCCAGGCTCCTGAGTGCTGCACGTACTGGGAGAATACAGTAACACAGTAGAGGATAAAAATCTCCGTGCATGACCTGCCTGGCCCCACGTAAGGCATTACAACTTCTGCCATGGGCCACCTGAGGTTATCCTAGGAATTGCTGGTTATAGACAGACCATAGGGTGGGCGACCTGTGGGTCTCTGTACCCTGATCAGGGATTCAGCAAGGCTGTGTGCCCTGCTCCAGACAACAGTCACAGTGCTTCTTGCCAGGAAATTCAGAAGGAGGGTGGCCACAGAACACCCCAGCACATCCTCATTATCCAGAAAAAAGAATAAGGGTTGCCCACCTCCGCTCTACCCCACCCAGCACCAGCACTACCTCCTCCTCCACAGCCAGCCTAGGCTTGCCAGGAGCCCAGCCTGGATGCCGCGTCCTCTGAAGCACAGACTCTGCCTCCTTCCCATCTCTGGCCTCAGCCCATGGCACCACCCCCGAGGCCTTAGTGCAGTGCAGGCTTGCTCCGAGAACAAAAGACAGCGATCGGCCATCAGCACATGGGTCCCCTCTCATGGTGACTGCACGAAGTCACCACTGAAGGAATGCAGGTCTGGACCCAAGGGGACCTCAGAGACATTCCACTGTGGACATCTCTCCCTTCAGGAGGGAGGAGAGCTCCCTTCTATCCAGACAGGCTCAATGTTGACCTTGGAGTTGGAGAACTATCCAAGTTTTCAGCCTACTGGCTTCTCTCTTTTTCAGGGGAGATACAAGGGGAGGACAGGGACAGTGTAGAGGACACTCATTTCTGCCTGTCTCACAACCTCATCTCTGGGTTGTCATGGAGTGGAGCCTGTAGTCACCTGTGTGAAGCTTTCTGCCAGATGCATACTTGTGAAGTTCTGAGAGTGTCAACTGAACAGACTGAGGAAGAGAAGGAGCCATGGTGGTGGCTCCCAGGCACTCCCAGGCCCACCGCCCTCTGGCTCTTTCACACCCCAGAGCAGCTTAGCCTCCAGCACAGCTCCATGAAAGGTGGAAGAGCCACCCCAGGGCGCTGGGAGAAAAGGCGAGACAAAGCGCTCACTTCCCACTCCACTTCCACTCCCGGTCTGGATTCTCCCTGGCTCAGTGGAGGTGGAGTTGGGTTCTCAGAAGCCTGTGAAAAAGGCTTGGGCTCAGGCACAGGAACTTTGGAGAAGGCCCCAGTGGGGTAAGTTCACATCACTGCGCTTGATACACATAGTATGTGGGGATGGCAAAAATGAGAACCAGCCTAGGCTGGGGCAAAAAAAAAATCACAGGCAGCCGGGGCACTGGCACAGCCTTCAGGCCCTGGCCCCACATCATAGAGCATCCAGCAGATCCCAGGGAGGCCTCAGTGTGGGGAGACTCCAAATCTTCAGGGAAGGTCCACCAGAAGCCTCGGAGATTCCTCTCCCCAGTCTCCCCCACCCAGGTCCCCTAGCCTCCCACAGCCATCCACCCTTACCTGTTGATGGAACTCACACTGGGTACCGTGTCATTGTCACACACTCGCTCTGCCAGCAGCCGGTCCCTGATCTCCCAGGCAAACATGGTGGGATTTTGGCGTTTATATTCAGCGATTTTTTCCACCACTTTGGGCGTGGCAACCTTTGGTTTGGATCCTCCGATTACCCCAGGCTTGATGCTTCCAGTCTCATAATACCTAGGACCCAAGGACAAAGGGAGCTGAGTCACGGCAAAACGGGTAAATATTTGAGACAAGGTGAACGCTGTGAATGTAAAAGATACAACAGGTTTTTGAAGACCTTAGGACCAAAAAGAAAAGTGTAAAACACCTCATTCATAATTGCATATGCTCCCATAGCAGTTTTTAGACATTGGGCAATGGCATGCAAGGCTCCAGGCATTACACAGTTCCATTGGAAAGTGGTCCTCTCCTGGCAGGTTACATACTCATAAAAACCTCTCACATTCATCTACCACTTTAGGGCGCTCAGGAAACTCACAAGTTATTTCTCCAATCAGCTCCCCCGCAGTTCCAGAGTACACAAAGGGGTCTTCAAAAAGCTTGCAGGAAAACACGCATTATGGGGAGGAAAAAAATCTATGCATGGATTTCAATGTTTTCTTGCACTAAAATGAATTTCTATTTTAGGTTCCATTTTTTTCCATGGACTTTTTGACATTCCCTTGGGAACTGTATTGAGTGAATGAACCAGTAAGACGAATGGACACCCACTGACGAGCAGAAGACCGTGGTTCACTGGGGTGAAACACCTTCCCCTAGGGTCGGTCATACAAGACCAAGGGACCAAGCCAGAACAGTGCCCCACTCCAGAAGGGTGGCCTTGCTTCTGACTTGCCTGCTTTCCCACTTCCTAGCAGAATCCCCTAGAGTACTATGCAACCAGCCACTCACAGTGCCAACTTGTGTTCTCCATAGGAGAAAAGCTGTAACATCAGTGTAGAATTAAAACGAGAGACAATGGGAGCGTCAGATTCGGAATTAACTGGAAATCAGAAAAGCCAACCATCAGTCCCCATGCGCCCCTCCGGAGACCTCCCTGGAGGTAAATGGCTGTTTCTAAGGACATTTCCATGCTATCAGCTTTCCCTCGTTAACACAAATAGGATGTCAGGCTTTTTACACGAAAACCGAGACCAGGCAAGAGAGCCATGAAAGATCTTTTCAGGGGGGTAAAAATGACTTGATTCCTTTCTGAATTTGAGCCGTCACTGGATGTCTCTCTCAATATCTGTGCGGGAATGCTCAACTTCCTCCGCCAGAGGAGATTAGCTTGCAGTTGGATGCTTTTTGTCACCAAGAAGACATCTCAGAAATGACTCGTGATTTTCCAACCCAACAAGAGTTCCTAACAAGCGAGAGAAGGAGGTGCTCCCCAAACGGGTGGGCAGTGCTGCCCCAGGGAACAATGACTGGACATGCTGATAGAGTTGCCTGGGCATGCCATGCTAGTGAATGTTCTAGAAGAGATGAAATCATTGGGAAGCGGTGATGTGGAAGTGATTTTTTTTTTTCTTTTTTAGCTGAGAAGAATGAGTCATTTACAAATATTTGACTCTCAGGCAAAGTTCGACCTATCTGCTCTCTTTCTGAGGGATGAAACTAATTTTTCTGCAATTACTAAAAATTGTCAACTTAAAAGAGGCTTATTCAAAATATCCAGAAAAATGCCTATTTTTTTTTTGATGCAACTCCAGTAAAAGCACCAAATAAAAGCACACAGCTGTCTGCGGCCCTCAACCATCCCATCCGCTTTACCCTAAGGAGATGATGTTTACTAGAATACAACTCATTAGGTACGGCGCCTGTGAGGCCAGCAGGATTTTGCTTCTAGAAGCGCAAATGCATAATCAGAAGACCGAACCACTTGCCCACTTCCTTCTAGAAGGCAGATACAGCCCCAGCTTGCAAACCTGCCCTGAACCCAGCAGTCTTTCCACCAAAGCACATCTTTGCCTTAGTAAAAAAAAAAAATGTAAACACTGATGATGATGCTGAGCCTCAGCCACTCTAGATGGGAGTGCTGCTCACGGGCATCCATCACTCCATCCAGAGTGACTGCATGCCTGTGGCAGCAGGTATGAACTCAGGTAGGTGCTCACAGACACACAGAACACCCTGGGCTGGGTACTCACAACACACCTGTGAGCAAGATGCAGCCTTCACACAGTGACAATCAGAGGACAGAGGCTAGCACCCCAGCACCTGCACGGCTCAGGGGCCCCATCCCATCCCACCTGAGGCACTTGCCAACCCCGGGGCTGGGGGATATAGTCTTGACGCGAGAGATCTCTCTTCCTTTTGACTGACACATGGACCAGGTCCTTAGAAAGCAACCCTGACCTTCCTGAAAACCCCAACTCGCAACTGTGTCCAGTGAGGATTTCGACTTAATAACCATCCTTTCATGCCGGCAAGACAGCCGCGCAGCCCTTTGGCTCACAGACAAAAGGCGCCCGGCAGCCGCTGGCACGCGGAGTCCTTGGGTGCAGAGAGCCTGGGTCTGGAAGTCAGGAGGAACAGGTTCAAAGCAGTGGCTCGGCTCCTGCCTCTCTGCGTCATCTTGCTCAACCCCCTCCACTATTCCAGCCCTCATTTAGCCCAACTATAGATATGCATCCTGCTTACCCTGCAAGACCGTTACGCGCTCAGAAAAGATTTTGTAAAATATAAAAGGAAAAGGAAGTGTTGAAAATCCAAGTTCCCTAGGTGCTGAGGAATACTGGTGTGACACAGCACCCAATTCCAGAAGACCGGGCCCTCCCAAGAGGCTCCCATGAAACAAGGTGGCAGCCAGACCCTGGGTGGCCCTCTCCACGCCTTCTATGCCACTCTATGCCACGCAGCTATTCCTCCTAAGCCCCTTGGCCACCTGGAGTTCTGCAGACTGACTGTCCACCTTCCTGGGATGACGATGAGTCCCTGTCCACCCCAGGGACTTCGGTTGTCTTGCCACACAGCCTCTGAAAACCACAGCCACTACCCACCACACGCACGCTGCAATCTGTCACCTCGTGTGGGCCCATCAAATTCTTTTGTGACAAAAGAAAAAAGCAGTCTGTGCATGCAACAGCCCCCAGTTCTCCAGTTCAGAAACTCCTGACCACACTGTTTTAGAACTGAACTTGTTTCTTAAAAGGCAGTTCTAATTAGAGTGACATTTTGTCCACTGTGGTTCTTAGTTATGAAAATAATGAGCTATGAAATTCCAATTTATTGTTGACAACTTAAACGGCCAGGCACCGGAGCGGCGCAGAACTTCCAAGTGCCACTCTACCTAGTGACAAATCTATTCTGGGCCACAGGAGGCCGCAGGCTGGGCTGAGAAGCATCCCTGCCACCCCCCATCCCCGTAAGTCTCCAAGGGAGATGAGGAGGGCTCCAGGACCCTGCGACATGGGGGACCTAGCACTTGGATGTCCCCTTCCCTGCAAAGGTTTCAAACAGCGAGCGAAACGTCGGCTCATCAAAAACAAAGGAAGGGCCTTTCTCCTTCCCGCTCCCTCTGTACAATGAGTAGGCTGCACATGAAACCATCGAAGATGCACTCAGCCCTAGAAGACTGATGCTGAAATAAGCCAACATGTCCCTTCTCTTTCTCTCTCTCCTCTTAACTTATTTCTAGTTCTCTTCCAATTTCTATGCCTCTATCATTTAAAAAAAATCCTCTTTTCTCATGGGTTTCTTTTTTCCGCTTTCTATTTTTCTTCTATCTTCACTCTCAAAGAAAAAATGTTATTTTCTATTAAGGCATGTTTTCTCAAACTACAATGCAAGCCATCAGCCAAGGATTGTTTTCTAACCAGGATTGTGGCAGCGGGGAGGCAGAGGGAGAAAAAGGAGGTGTCAAAGAGTAAAGGTCTTCCCAGAAAGCTCGTGTCTGTCAGCACAGATCCTAGGTCAACAGCACATGCCAGGCGAAAAGCCTGTGGCCTCATTTTAGGGGCCCAGAGAGACACAGTCTTTTGGGATTTATCCAAACCCAAGTACTGACCAACTAGCCAGCTAGCTAAAGGAAACTGGACGGCTGCTACGTCTTCCTTGGCTTGCTTCCTCATCTTACAAGGAGCTTGCCCAGATCACAGGGAGGCTATAGAGAAAATATACATGGGGGGGGGGCCCTTACCCCGGCTGCATGCACCACCCCGAACGGGGGACCAACAGCATTGTTAGCAGTGTTCATGCAGCAAATCTCAGGATCAAATGGCAGTGTTCAAATGTCAGGTTTGAGAGTCAGCATACGTTTGGTTTTTCTCCTCTTTCATTAAGTACATATACCTAGGATGCTGTTGGTCACCACAAAGAAAACAGAACATATCCCAAAAAAGCACTGCTGTCAAGGTGAGGCTGACAAGAAGCCGGCACTGCACTTTGAAAAGTGCCAGTGCAACCCTGACCTGGGCTTGTATGAGATGTAACTGATGGATTTCCCACCGAGTCCCGCCCAGGGGTCTGAGCCAACCTAAGATGCACAAGGGAGAAGTCCCAAGAGTTTCCTACGCCTGACTTTTTCAGAATAATTCACAAGGCATTCAGGAAACATGCCGTGATCCTCCCAGGCTAAGTCTCCCAGTGTCACATGGTGCTATCGGAAGGGCTTTTCCCCCCCACCGCCCCAGGGACTTCTTGAATTGGAAGACCTCAGAAGGGCAATGAAAGGGCTACGCACGTCCACCAAGTGCAGCGCAGCCCTGCCTCTCACTAGGACACTGGCCCACTGGGCAGCTGCTGGGTCATGTTTCAGGTCTTTATATGAAAGATTCAAGGGAAGCCCTGGAGCTCCTGTCTTTACCTGCCAAGAATCTTGCTGACACAACCATGGCTGACCCGAAGCTGCCTGGAGATGTCGCAGGGCCTGACACCTTGATGAGCAAGTTCCACTATCCTTTGGCGGACTACATCCGGAAGTGGCCGTCCATTCACAAAAACCCCCCCAAGCTGATTGACTCCTCCATGTCCTGAAACAGATCACAAACAAAAGACAAGGGAAAGGGTAGGTTAGAACCAGTCGCACAGCAAAAGCCCCTTGCGAGCACCCCAGAGCCCCCTCTGCTCACAAATGGCTGGCAGGCTGGTGTCTTCTGCCTAGAGTCCAATCAAGCACACTACCCAGGGACCCCAGATTGCTTTGTGAAATTAATCTCAGCCTTGGTCCATCTGCAGCTGGTCAACTGAGCCGTGGCTACTAGCAAGCATCCCGTTGCTGTGCTTTCCTTACTTCCTGGTATTTGCCTTGTAATTATTTTTTAATTCCACAATGAAACATACCAAGACCTCAATCTGTACTAACGATGGGTATAAAGAGGATGCTAAGGTCTACAGAGGAATTTTCAGGGCAAAAATATGGTTTAAAAGACATTGGATTTAAGGGGAGAAAATGAAATCTTTTCCTTTTAACAACTATCTTTTAAAAGTGAAAAGGACTGATCGTTATTTCAGGCGGGAAAAAAATTTGTCATCAGCAGTCTAAGCTCAAGACTTTAAAAAAAAAAAAACAATGTTTTAACAGTGCCTTGCAGAGCACAGAGATGAAACTCAACCACCGCCTTGATGAAAAAAATAAATAAAAACAACAACCTTTCTGCAGGAAGGTGAGGCTGACGTGCGGACTTGACTGGGCACCCTCTCGGAGCACACAAAAGAAATGGAGGCTTGCGATTCTTTACACAACACATTTGAGTCTGCTGCCTCTGGATTTGTTTTAAAGAGGCTCCCCTGGAATTTGGGGAGTGTTCTGCAACTGGCAAGCAGCTCTAAGTTGCTTCACGGAAAATAAAGGAGCCAGTGAAAGCTTCTCTGAGTCCCACGTTTCACAAGGATGCTAAGTCAAAGGGATCAGAGCGTGGGGCGGGGGGGAACATGTCCCTTTTGCCCACACAATCCCGTATCCTACATCACAGCCCATCTGGAGGGACAAGAGTCCACAGAAGAGCCTACCCCATAAACACAGAGCGAAGCCATGTACCAACATCATTGACCTTGTAGCTGTTAATCAGCTACTAACTGATGTCGCTGAGGACCGGAGCCAAAAGCCAAGTTCAAGTATTGACTGATGCTGCTGGCAGCTCCGAGGCCAAAGAAGGGCAAACCTCTTCCCAAGCTGGGCTCTGATGAAGACAGGGCTGCACAGGCAGAACTAATACATGCCAGAGGTCACAGGGACATCCATACCCCAAGCCTAAAACATCACTTAGTACCCTCCTCTCAATTATTCCAGCCCCGGACTCAGGTTCATGAGCAATGACTGAAATTGTGGAGGTAAAAACATCCACAACACATCCTGCATTTTAAAAATCAGCCAAGCAATTTTCTGAAGTTTCCCATAGATATTTCTCAGGATGTCCAATCTTCGGGGCTTATTTCCTGGAAAACACATACACACAAACACACACACACACATTGGTTTACATCCCTGCACCCCTTGAGTCCAGTTGTAAGCCTGATTTCTCTGATTTGCAAGACAAACTTTAATTGTTCTGCAACACCCCAGGCATAAAGAAAAGGAAAATCACCCTGAATAAGATTTGCAAAAAGAAACACAATTGCCCAGTTTACCTACACCAGAAAGCCTGCAGCCCCCAGGTCAAGAGCCTTAGGATGGCTTTGTCTGGGGCTGGGAACAGCCAGTTAAAAAGGAGCCGTATGATCTTTCCAGTGCAGAGGGGATTTAAGTAAAAGAAAGTAAATTCAAAATCGATGTGAGCTCATCTGGGAGGACAGAGGGCAGGAAAAAGGTCCTAAAACACACAGTATGCTCTGGGAGTCTGGTCCATCCATAATAGCCTACTCCCTGTACCACAAGCCACGGAGGTTTTCTGCCCAAAATCCAACAGCCACCTTCGGAGGACGCCAAGAGCCCTTGTGCAAGATGCGTGGGAGCTTTGGTGAAATGTTTCATTTCTGAAAGGAAAAGAAAAAATCCTAGAGTCTCTTAGAGACTAGCCTCTGCAGAAGGGATCAGGTCCTCCATCACGGGCCTCAGAAACTTAGCTACCAAAGCCCCTTGCACAGTCTGAGCCGAACGTCCACTTGCACAGCAGGCCAGTATGACCTGGGAGACTCCTCCCTCCCTCAACTTCCTGAAAGACCCCCCCAAAGCCACTCCGGGGGCCCTGTCTTCCTGGCCACAGTGTTACTCAGTAGTACAGCTCAGTGCCAATGGCCTGAGGGCAGCCACTCAGTCTAGAATCAGGGGAAAAGAGAGACGGGAATGGAGGGGTGATTAAAGTTAGAGAGAGGAGGCAGACAGAAGAAAACAGTAATGTGGTTGGAGGATTACAAGGATTGGAAACTCAGTGCAACAGAGAGCAAGCCTGGGAGAGAAGCGGCTGATTCAGCAGGCAGAGGGCAAGCAAAAGGAATGGAAAAGCCCAGATTGATGGCTAAAAGAAAGGTAAGTGTGGCACAGAGCTAGAGGCCAGGAGGGGGGGAAAAAAGAAAGAAAGAGAGGAATCCCAGGAAAGCAGTATCTATCCAGAGCACGGGGGACCTCTGTGGAGGGTGACCCCCTGGTCTTCTGCAGCTCCAACCTCCAGTCGCAGCTCCTTGAAGAATCCAGCTATCAGCCCTGTCTTCTGTGCACTCAGACCAGCTGCGGGTTCACGCCATGTAAGGTTGCCGGGGCCTTGGCTACACGTTTCAGGGGAAGTGGAAGCCAGAGTCCAAGGCACACCTGGAAACAGACACTGGGATCCCAGGGAAATACAGGCCAGTCCCAACAGGGCAGCCCAGCCCAGGTAGGGTTTAAAGAGGGACAGTGAAGAAGGATTGAACGGCAGGTGCCCGTAGGACCTCTAGGCTCCAATCTGGAAAGGGCTGACCCCACAGATGCGCCTCAGGCCCTGATAAGGACCTGCTGCCCATCAGGAGCCCATCCCACACCCCAAAGACCCAGGCTGGCCATCAAAATCTTTGAGGTAAAGAACCTGAACTCCAGGACCTACAGAACACTGAAATTCCTCCTACTGGCCCCAGAGAGGAAAGTGGCAGGGCACACAGGCCAGCAAAGAGAAAAACACGGTGACCTCTCCCTAACAGACTCCCCAGCTGAAAGCCAGGCACAGCCAGCTGGGCCACAAGCTCAGATGTGGTTGGACCAGTCAGCGGGAGGGCCTTGAACATGTGCCATCTTACCTACCGAGACCACAGCCCTGTCTACAATCTGCGACTGTCCTGCTACCTTTCATGGAATCCTCTGACCTCTCATGCTTTCCCCCACATTAACTTCCCATTAGTTCTTTTGTCTCTGTGACCTCAGTGACACATTCTGTGAAATGGGTATAACTGAAGGTTTAATGTCCAGGTTTCTGAGGCTGGTGTAGGACACTGGCTACAACAGCTTTAAAGCTGCTAGAAACCATCAGGGGAGAGAGCCAGGGGGTGACAGGGAGAGGAAGGAAACTGGATTCAAACACCTGAAACCAGGGAGTGGAACTCTGCTCTGTCGCACCCCACCCTCCACTAACCTCAGAAGCCATTTCCCAACAGGGCCTGGCTCTCCTTACTCAACCTACCCTGGGATAAATTGGCAGGAGGAGGAACTGAGAAAGGCCACAGGGAGAAACTGACCAAAGCCAGGAAGGAAGGGAGGGAGGAAGGTGAGGAAGTGAAACTTGAACTGGGCCCCTGCTGCCTTAAGCACTCCTCTAGAACCCATAGTGCTCCCCCCATCTCCCTCACCAGCAAGTTGGGGGGGAAATGCCCCAAAGCTGGCTGACACCCTTTGGCCCACACCATGCAAACAGCTTTGAGTATCAGAACCACTGGGTCATTCCAGAGAAGCCAGGAAGCTTGGCTGGCTGGGGCCCAGCCCCCACTGCCCTGCCTAGGAGAGTGGAAATGGGAGGAGGGAGCACTTCCCAGGGAAGAGGAGGGGGCAGACTGCAGGCCAGAACGGGGAGGCACAGAGCCTAGCCGTTGGCTAACCCGCACCTGGTAGGGGCTGCCTTCTCCACTCTGCTGCACAGCAGCCAGCAGCCCACCAGGTCTCCTGCTATTTCCCCAGGGAAGGAAAGGAGCACGACCTCTGGGCTGCAGAGCTCTGAGCAGAAAGTGGCAGCCAGCTAGGGCCCATGGATTTTCCACCGGTAAGGAGAAGGGCTCAGGAGCCTTCCCACCCTATCTTGCCCCCTAGTCTCTTTCCTCAACTGAGCTGAGGGCCTGCCCATCTCTCAGACTATCGCCCCCAACTCGTTTGGTTTTGGGCTCCCTCTGTGATATCAAAGCTTCCCAGGGCCAGGCTCAAGTCGGAGGAGCAGGAAAAGACTGCAGACACAGCGCTAGGGTCCCTACAGCCTGGAAATGGTTTGGGCGCAAGTCGCCAAGCAGCCAGCCAGGAATCGTTTGGGCTAAGACCAGAATAAGCTGCTTCTCCGTGCCAATGTCCCCACCGCTGTGCTGAATTACCAGGCAAATTGACACAAAGAGACACTGACCTGCCTACAGCCAGCTCCATCGGCAGCCTTCCCCTGCCTGCCAGGCCACTGGGCCCCGGGTAGCAGACATCGACACTAGCTCCGGAAGCTTGCCTTCTCTCCAACCGGGTCTCTGCTACCTTTGTTTAACTGGAGACCCACAGGGGGAGTAGCAAGATCCCCTTCTATCTGAAGGGAACTGGAGGGCTTGGAGAGGGTTCCCAACCAGTCACGGAGCAAATCCTTGCCCTGCAGCGAGCAGAGACCCGCACCGGTCACCAGGCCGTAGAAGCCGGCACCGTCCCCGCCCGCTCTGCAGCAGGCAGGAGAGAAATTCGATTCGTTCCACTTGGAATTTCCTCGCCATCACCGATCTCCTGTGAGCAGTTAACTCACCGGGAGCTGAGCACGCATCTCACAGGAGGCCGTGCAGCTGGGTGACCTGGCCCGAGGCCGGCAGAGCCAGGCAGCTGGCCAGTGCCTTGCCCACCACAGAAATGACCCTTCCCGTCTCCTACACACAAGACCTTTTCAGAAGGAGGGGGTGCCTGTCTGGTGACCAACTGGCTTCTTCTTCCAATCTTTTCTTTTCTTTCTTTCTTTCTTTCTGTTTTAAGCAATAAGTTGTCCCCGAGGCAGGCATCCTGCCGAGCCAGACCCACTGGGGTCTTTCAGGGTCCCTGCCTGAACTGGTTTAGCTCCCAGAGCGCTCATTCGTTGATTTTCCAAATCCTTCTCCACTAGCTCCAGGACGGCTGGGCTGCCCCTACGCCTCTCAACCTGGTCCTATTCACACCTCTAACACACACACACACACACACACACACACACACACACACACACACTCATGGTCCCACTTGCCCTCCAAGTGCCAGCCCCGATCAACCCCACGCCAGAAAAGGGCGCCATCAGGGTTGGGCTGTGGGGCGCTGTTTCTGAGCTGCAGGCTGACCTCTCCCTCCAACTTGGTGCCCTCCAACTGGCCCTGCGCGGAGCCCTCTGCGAATCCGAGCTGGGATTGCTTCGGAGGTTGTGAGAATTTGGCGTCCGCAGCCGCCTGGAAAAGCTGAGGCTTCAGCGCCTACGCTGCGGGTTGCTGGAGGCGGGATTCGCCGACCAGGTGCTCTGGCTCCGGCCGGCCGACCGTGTGGTTCCACCGTCCCCTGCCAGAGCGTCCTGACTTCACAAAGTTGACTGCGCAACTACCGCGGTTCCAGGGGTCCTCCCGGCCTTGTGAGCACTGCCCCGCGCAGTCCGGCACCCCCACCCCGGTCCCGGCCGGAGAGTGAGAGAAGCGAGCTCGCCGCCTACTTACTATGCATGGATGCAAACGGGTCGTGCTTACAGTGTATTTCCATCGGGGCGCTCCAGACTGCCGGCCGGCCCACGCCGCCGCTTCCCGGCGCCAAGGGGCTGCCCAGGGCGGCGAAAGAACCGCACTACCAGGTCGGACACTGTGAGAGCTGGACTCGGAAAACACACGGCCGGAGGTCGCTGAGAGCTGCGCGCCCAGGCGGGGACCCGCGCTGGCGCAGTCCGTCCGGGAGTGGACGCCCAACTCCGCCTCGCCTTCCTCCCGGGCTGGCTCAAACGATGGCTCCCGGCCCGGCCCGGAGTAGCTGCGGCCCAGGCGTGCACCGCTCCCGGGGCATAGCGTAGGGACCCAGCTCCTGGAGGGCTAGGAGCCCCCTGGCCAGGGGGAGGCCGCTGCAACGCCCAGCCCTCGGCCCTTCTCGGGGAGCAGCGAGGTCGGCGCGCGGCCAGGCTGGTGCCGCTGCCTCGGGGCCGGTTCCTCCTCGACCCCTCGGTCTCCGCCAGATCCGTCCTCTCTCGGCTTTCCGAGTCTCTGCGGCGCAGGCTGGCTCTCCGACGTCTCCGGCGAAGTTGCGAAGAACTTGCTCTCGGCCGCGCAGTGCCCGGGGGCGAGCTCCAGGACGCTTCCGTCCGGGGCCCGGGACGCCGGGGTCCCCAGCTGGGGCGCCCGCACAAGCCTGGGACTCGGCTCGCTGCCTTCAAAGTTGGTACGGTCCCTTCGGCTCCCCCATGGCCCGCGCCAGGAACGGGGCGCGACAGCGGTGGGCTCTTGCGCGCCTGGGGAATCTGCCTCACGACCAACCAACTCCACGAGACACCTTCTGTCCTGTCTGTGGGGCCCGGCTACACCGACTTCCAAGCTGCCTCTTCCCGGACGGCCGCCGCGCCTCCTTGCCCAAGGCGCGGGGCGAGGGACGGAAAGGAGAGCGGAGGGTCCCCGCTACCAAGGCCGCCCGGACTTGAGGGGCTGAGGTCGAGCCGCTGCTTGCTTGCACTGGCCTCGCTGGCCGCCGCCGCCGCCGCTAGCCCTCCGCCTGCTCGGCGCGCACAGTGCGCCACCGCGCCGCCCCGGAGCCGCTTTCAGGACCCGCTGCGTGTGGACAGCGCCGCCCGGGGCTCAGCCTCCCTCCGGGCGGGGGCGGGGCGGGGGCTGACCTGCCAATCACGCTCCACCCGGCCAATCTGGCCGGCGGACGCGGAGCCTGGCCCGAGCCTCCGTGCCATTGGCTCAGCCACCCTTGGGCTCCGCCTGATTAGCCCATACCTGGGCAATGGGAGAGAATGGGGGGCGGGGCCCCGGCGGCGGCGCCACGTTCATTGACAAACGCGCGCACAGCGAAGGGCCTGGTCGAGGACCGCCGAGGGGGGAGGGCGCCGCGCACGGCCTGCAGAGTCCCGCAGGCGGCCCTGCTGAGGGTCTGGGGGTGCCGGGGAGAGGCACCACCCCCTCCCGGCCGAGGCCTTGGGGTTGCGGGGACGCCCTGAGGCTGAGGATGCGCAAGGTGGGGGGGGTGAGGGTAGGGGGCAGTCGTCTCCAGCAGGGAACAAAAAGCAGGAAATTAAAAAAAATAATAATGCATGTTAGAGAAAGACCAAGAGCACACTAGACACGCGGCTTTCAACTCTGGGCACACATCTCTGCCTGTTCTGACCCCCCGACTTTCCTTATCTACAAAATGGGCGGAGTTGAGCTAAGTCCTCTGGGCACAGAGATGAGCCCAGCAGTGTCCAGCGTCAGTAAGGCCCCAGCACGGCGAGTGGGCGGGCTCATTCTGCAAGGGTTCCACCCCAGGGCTACAATGCCGCAGCTCCGAGCTGACCTTCTTCCCTCCCAGGGAAGTTCCTGTCACTTGTGTGACCAAATAAATGGTTTTCAGAACTTTGTCCAGCTCCAAAAGGTCTTGCACCAGCGAGTCTCAGCTTCTCAGGGGAGCTCTCAGACTCCGGAGACAGAGGCAAAGGAAACAGACCTTGAAAAGGAAGCAAGTGACGGCCATTCTTCCCGCCTCCCCTCCGCCCCCAGAGGCCACAGAATCTGTGAGCCCCAGGCGTCCCTGGGGAGGCTCCCAGCAGCTTTGTGGGAGTGATCTGCTGCAGGCTCGATTCCTAAGGGGTGACCCTCTCCTAAGAAAGGTAACCCTGCCCAAGCAACGGTCTACGGTCTACGTTTTGAACCCCCTTCCCTCCCCACCCTGATGATTGGCTCTTCCCCTGCCTCAGTTTCCCACTCCCTCTGACACCCCTGTCTCACTTCTCCCATACCTCTATCCTGGCTGGGGCCACCTTCTGTCTGTCACTGTTCCAGTCCCAGCTGCCCCTGACCGGTAGACAAGTTTCCGGAGCTGACACCCGCCCCCACCCTGACAGGGCACAGCTGCGGAAAACCGCCCCAGCTGGCCCCTAGGGACCCAGAGGGAGACTGCTGAGGGTGGCTGAGGGAGACTGTGTGGGGGGCAGGGGAGCCATTTCACCTTTGTTGGGGCGATGGAGGGGGCCTACTGCCTAGGTTTTACTGTTCTGCTCCCCACCTTGGAATGGGAAGGTCACCAAGGGACCAGGGACCAGGCTGGCTTAGGGTCCCAGGGTTGGCTTCCCTGTGAATCAGAAACAACTACAGAAGTCCGAGCCTCCTCCATCCCACTCCACGTGTGGCTCTGCATCCCTCCTGGAGAGAGTGCAGAAGCAGGCTGAGGGACAAAGCTAGTGACCACACCCTCCTACCCTCTCTCCTTCCCCCTCCCCCACCCTGGGTCTTCCACTTTGAATTCCACCCCTGGCTTCTCCCCCCTTGAACTCAGGCCTACAAATCCAGTGTCCTAGCCCTGAGATGCTATGCTTTCCTCGTGTTAGGGATACCTGTTAGAGATACACAACCTGATTAACGACCTAGCCAAGGTCTCCCAGGAACACAGCTAGGCCAGCAGGCACTCTCAGAACCACAGGGGGTCGGGGGTCATGGAGGGTTGTTCTCTGATTAGAGCCTTAAGCCAGCGTTCCTTCCCCACTTCCCCTCCCAGTGTGACTTGGGCAGAATCCCCAATCCCCTCCCTGGGGAGCACTGCAGGTTGGGACGGAGCCACAGCACTACCCCCAACAAGATGGGGATCTCAGATGCTCCATCTCACACGGGTGTTGGGGCCCCTCCGAACGACAAGGTCTCAGTCTGATCTTGTTCACACACCTCCGGTTCTGTGGACCTGGGGTGGAGCTGGGGTGGTTATTCACATACACTCCCCACCCCTGCCTGGGGGCTTTCAAATGGAAGGTGCAGCCACCTAACCCAGACTTAAAGGCCATCAAATGGCGGCCCAAAGAGGTTGGGGACTCTCCCGAGATTACCCAGCCTGGTGTAGCCAGAGCTTGGGCGCCTAGCCTGGCCACCCTGAGAGCCACGGCCTAGGTCTGGAAGAGGAAGACCATCAGGGAAGCGCCCATCGCCAGGTCACTGTCGCAGCCTCTGAGTGCATGCGGTTCAGCCTTGCTGTGCGCTACAGTGGCCTTTCTCCAGCGGCAGGGTTTGGGTCTGGCCCTGTGCTGAGCGTGTGGGGCAGGGAGCTGGGGTGGAGAGCTCACAAGACTGAGAAAGTGAAGACATCCTCGAAGAAAGCCAAGGCACGCAATTGCCTTTCAGAGTTTTCCTGTTGCAAAAAAAAAGCCTCAAATAGTGTGTGAGGCCAGAACACACCTTCTCAAAGTGCCCAGTGGGAGTGTGTTTAGCCTGTCCAGGTCTCCCACCACAGGTAGCTTGCCCAATCCTATACCTTTTCCAACAGTAGGGGTGGGGAGAAGGAACTGGGGATGTTCCAGTTCATTTTCCAAAAGGAGGGAGCTGCAAGGGCCAAACATGAAAAATTCTTGCCTTAGAATCATGCCCAAGTCCCTGCCCCTCTCCCAGACTTCCCTCCCCTAGTACCAAGGAGAGGTGAGAGGAGGAGATCCTTAAATGACCCTGTGTGGTTAGGGAGCACCAGCCCAGTCTGGTCTCAGGCTCGCTGCCTGGAGATCACATTCCCTCTCCACCACGTCGCCAGGGAAATTGAGGTTGGGGGAAGGAAAGAAAGGGAGATGTATTAGCTCATGAAAGTTGGAAGAGAAAAGAGACTCTTAAAAGAACTGGACCGGGCAGACTCCTGGGACACCTTTTCAGCCCCATCCCCTTTCTCCAGGCCTGTGTAGACAGGTGGAAGTGCAGTGTTACCTGAACTGTCAGGCTGTCCCAGGAACGGACAGCCCTGACCCTGACCCCTGGGTGAGGAGGCGTGGCTCTCAGGATTTTAAGCTCTGGTCAGCCTAGAGCTCCCCCCACCCGCCCCACCCCACAAACTCCACCCAGGCCAGCCTGCACAGAGGAATGAAATGCTTTATTGATTAAACGATTATTCAGGCGATTGAACTAATCAAAGAGCCCATCGACCGCCATGAATTACAGTCTTCGTAGACAGCTTGTCCGGGAAGGCAGCTTGCGAGTTATTCAGGCCCTCATGGCCACTAACCCACCTCCCCGCAACACACACTCAAACCCTTACGCACACACAGCACCTGGTGCTAGGAGTCCCACCTACTGAGGGGCCCAGAGCCCAGGCAAGGGGAGCTGACCACCAGGAAAGGAGGATGGGAGCTGGGAGTTCCCAGGTCCTTCTTCCCCACCTTACCTCGGGGATGTTCTGGCTTCCTGAATTTAGACCTATGCCCTCACTTCTTAGTCACCATTGCAGGGAGTTGCCCTGAGTTTGGACTCCAACTGTACCCTCTCTTTTCTCTGACCTTTATTTGGGACTGAGATAGAGGCTAGAGTTCCCAGAAACCCAAGAATCTTTTTAGGTGGTGTGTGTGTGTTCCCAGAGGTTGGAACGGTGACTTAACAAGTAGATGAACCCCACTTCATAACCCTTATGTCTCAGAGCAAAGACCTACGATGGGCATACCAGGTCATGTGCCAAAAACACCAATGCACACAGGCACTTGAGCTGAATGCACAGGCTAGGCACCCATGTCCACCCACTTGTGTGCTCCTCCATTGGAGCGACACCCACAAGATACGCCCTGAACACACAGTGAGTATGTACAACACACACACACACACATTGGTGCTGGAGGCTTATCTAGCGCTGGGGGCCCCTAGAGAAGTTGTCTAGTCCGCTGGCTGCCTACCCTCATGGAGAGCTCTGTGTGTAAAATGATAAGTTCCAGGGTGCCCGCTCAAAGCAACAGTGCACATGGCACATGGAGGGGCTCCACACCCCCACCTGGTTCAGTCTCCCATAGAAAGAGACCCAAGCCTGAGCCTGCACACACCTTCACCCCCAGAGTTGTAGACACCATTGTCACCTAACATTACAGAGCCTAGCACAATCACCCCATTCTTGTTTCCTATGACAAGAAGACACACATCTTCAAAGAAGCAAATTCCCTTCTACCAATGGTACTCATAGACACCTTAGGATTTTCAAACACATACACACAAACCCCAAGTCATAAGCACACACTACCATCCTCACAGCCATAACAATACATACAGCACACAAACTATTAGATATAAACTTAGACCTTTTAAAGACCCATACACAGGGAGGGACAAACCCATTGTCACTCATGTACACACTGAGCCCCTTATAGAAACACATACCCAAACTTGCACCCTCTGATGAGCAGTAATATCCCAAACAGAAAACCCAAGTAGATTCTTAGACAAACACACCTGAATGGATGAGCAAAAAGACAAACACTCCCCAGACACACAGCCAAGACTTGTGGAAAAATGCTCCCCACCGACCCACCCCCTCCTCCTCCGGGGTCCACCTGCACCGCGAGTCAGGGCCCCGTTGGGTTCCAGCTAAGCAAATGTGGTGTCCCCCGCCTCGCAGTCCTACCTGTCCTGCAGGTCCGAGGGGTCGGGTAATTTTTCTCTAAATCCATTTTGGTTTTTCAGGACTTGATGGAATGAACGGGGGAAAAAAAAAAGTTTCCACTTTTTCGTGCCCTTTTATTTATTTTTTATTTTTTTGGTGCCAGGGGCCGCTCACAGGTCGGAATAATTCAAGCCTTCCGCTCCCCCGCCGAGCTGGGGTAGCTGATCACTGAGCTGAAACTAAACGTTTTAGGTGGAAAAAAAGCGTCCGAAGGCACCGTGAAATGATTAAGGAACTAAAGAGCTTCTCGCCATGTGAGATCATGTCCTGTTCTCGCCAACATCACAAGATGTCCCCAGACAACGCCGCGCCCCCAGCGCGCCGCCCCGCACCGCCGGCCCGGAGCGAGCGCTGAAAAGGGTGTAGGCGCTGTGCACCCAGGGCCTTGCTCGGCGTGCCACAGACGGGGCGGACCGGGCCGGGCCGGGCCGGGGCAGAGCGGGAGGCCGGGAGAGCAGCAGCGCCGCAGCCGCGCCGCCCCGGACTTTTATAGGGGGTTGGGGGGGAGGGAAGAAAGGTTTCAGCCTGCGCCGGGCGCTAGCCCGCGCACCTACGAGAAGGGACAGATCGATGCCGAGCCCGGAGCCCCGAGCCTCGAGGCCGCATCCTCTACTAAGCCCTGCGTACCAGGGGGTCGCGCTGTCCTCTGAGCCCGTGAGCGGGGGCAGGTGACCATTCCACGAACAAATACCGCTGCGCAGGTGGACGCAGGCCGGGTTTTTTTGTTCTTACGGAAATTAACTGCTCTGCCAAGCAGGTGCCTTGGAAGATTGGAGTGGGGGAGGTTGAAGGCGGCGAACGCAGAGGCTGGTGGTCTTGCCACTCGCACAGTGCCATGCAGTATCCTCAGATTCGCCCCTAGGGCGGCGCCGTATCCCCGGGGTTCTCATTCACCCCACCCAACCTCCCGCTTACAGCTCGGAGTACAAGTCCCCTGACTCCAGGGCGGCCCCTTAAGGCTCCCCAGGGCCCAGCATCCCCTCCCTCCGCTGCACGCCGCCGCCATGTCTTATTCTGGCCTGTGAAATGCTGGAAATAAAATTCGGGGCCTCTGGTTTGGAGCACCCAGGAGGAGCTGAGCTTACTCAGAAGGTCCCTGAGACGGGTGGACACCTTACCCCGGCATAGCCAGGGAATTCCACTGTCCCCAGACTCCAAGACAGGGCGCAGGCTCCGAGCCTCAGGATTTGATTCCTAAGGGGAGATGGGCTGGGTAGCTATCGGGCAGAGGTGTGGCATGCCCAGCCCGCTCCATTCGACCCAGGCTCAAGGCTCCCCTCTCACGGCCCCGGATCCCCAGCCCCGCGTTCAGCTGCTCGGCTGGGCCACTGAAAGCCTGTGGGGGCCCTCCCTAACCCCCGTTGCCGGGCGGGGGGAGGCAGGTTCTCTATGGCTGGGGAGCGCTCCGCAGGAGGACTTCTGGCCCACCGGACAATGGCAGTTTCCGAGAGTGACTCGTCCTGGGCGAGAGTGTTGTTGTTGTGTTTTTTTTTTTTTTTTTTTGGAGGAGGTGGTCACGAGGCCGGGCCACAACCTAAGGGGAAAGAGCTCAGAGCAGGAGGAAGGGGGGCGGAGGGCGACGGGAACCGGACCTCGCGTTTAGCCACTTGGCAGATTTCGCCACGATCGGAAACGTGGCTGTGCATTCCCGGGCGGTGTCCCCATCAAGTGCTCCGCGCAGTCCCCATGCGCCGCCTCCTCCCTACAGCCTGCAGGTCCGAGTCCCTACTCCGAGTTCTGACTTTGGGCCACTTCCGCACGCTCGCCTCAGGGCCTCGGCTTCCCGCCCTCTGGCCTCGCCCGCGCCGGGAGGCAGCGCCGGGGAGGAGCGGCTTGTCCGCGCCGGGAGATCAAAAGCGCTTCGGGAACTGACACTTCACCCCAGGCCGGGGGCGGGCGGGTGTGGGAGTGTTTTGTTTTGTTTTTTTCTTTCTTTCTTTCGTCTGTTTAGGGGGTTTGTTTGGTTTTTGTTTGTTTTCTCTATTTAGTTTTCACTATTTAGGAGAGATGCTTTTGTTTCGGGTGTGTTGCAGGTTGGTTTTTTCCTTTTTCCGTGGGACTGATTTTTAGCGAGTTTCCGCTCTGTGGGTCTAGGGTTATTTTCGAGGGGGGGGGAGCTTTTGTTTTCTGCATTTTGATTTTTTGTGGGTTTGCACTTTGTGCCTTTGTAGGTCATTTTTTAAGCGTGTAATTTGGAAGGCTTTTCTAACTGTAGGGTTTCGGTGCATTTTGATTTGGGGTTAGTGAATGTCGCGCGTGTGCGCTGCGTAGGTGAATTTTGTCTTTGAGTGTTTTCTTGTCTTCGATTCTGATTTTGTTTCCAGGAGCTGCGCGTTGGGATGGGAGTTGGAGGAGCTGTTTTTGCCTCCACTTTTTTGTCTGAAGGATGTCTTGGCTTTGTGGGGTTTTGGGAATAGGATAGGGGAACGCACTCGGGATGGCCTGAAGATTAGGCCGAGCTGCAAGAAGGATGGGCCCGCCGCGCCCTCCGAAACATCCGATCCTGGCGCCTCCGTTTCTCGCTCCGTGCGCTGGACACGGAACACGCGTGCGTTCCCGAGGGGGCGCCCGTTGCTACCAGGTTCTGAAATATCGGAGCTCAGGGTCCGGGTTCACAGGGTTCCCTCGCGGGGTACCCAGGCCTAGCCTGTTGGCCATGGCCCACCCAGTCGGCTGAGGTGGGAGGTTTGTGTCCTCTTGAGTCCACCGCCTCCCGCCCTGTCCCCACCCTGGACTCGCACAGTAGGAAGCCTTGGAAAGGCTCCCGCGGCGGAGCCGGAGACAACGAAACCACTTCGGAGGACACGGAACTGAAGCCGCCGCCCTGGAGAGACGGTGCAAGGGGGCCGGGGCGAGTGGAGCTTGGGCGCAGCGCAGTGTCGGGATGCTGCAGAAACTGCCCCTCTCCCCCTCGCCACCTCCCTGGCCCGCAGTCGCGGAATCCTAGAAACCCAGTTCCGCTGCGAGTTCGGTTTGGAGAAGCCGCTCTGGCTTGCGACCCTGGACACATCCGCACTCGCACACTCGCTTACCCAACCGGAGAACGAGCGAGCGCCAGCCGCGCCTCGCCAGCAGCGGCCTGCATGGCGGAGCCAGTGCGGGCACTGCCTCCAAGGGAAACCCAATTTGAGTGACAGGAACTGTTCTTGAGGACAGAACCGGACCGTTGTCTGTGTCACGTTGCCGGCAACCTCGCCACACCTCGGTTTCTTTCACGCTACGCCAGGGAGAAATCGGGAGGTAGAGAGACCCGCTAGCCAAGCGTGGCGAGAAGCGACCGAGAATGAAAGAAGGAACGAGAGAGACGAGGGTGGGGAGGGAAAGCCCGATCCGAGGCCCGGAAAGCGGGCTGATGCGGGGGCGCCTGCAGGCCCCTGCACGCTGCGGCATTCTAGGACGCAGAGAGAGCACCGGCCGAGAACTGAGAATGACGCAAGAAGGCAAGCTGCAGACGGCGCTGGCCTAGGCCCGCCGCGAGCTTCCCTCTAGCCGGGACACCACAGTCCAGACAGCGAGAGAGAGGGAGCCAAGGGTTCAAGGGCGAACCGGCCACACATCGCAGGGTTCCAGGGCCTACAAAACCCAAGCCCGGCCTTGGTCCCGGCCTTGCGCGTCCTTCCCCACTGCAAAGTTCCTCCCGGATCTGCAATCTAGCAAACGCTAGGCTCCTGCTGGGCCTTTCCTGGGCACGAGCCCGGGAGAAGCCGCCGCAAGGCCCTCTTGCTGAGGTTCCCGGTGGGAGCCCGTTCTGCGGGTGGGAGCATACGTCCAGGATGCAGGCGAGGCCCCGCCCTCTGGCTGCCCCGAGACTTGCAAGAACTGGACTCGAAGGTTCGGGGACCCGGCAACGCGCACGTGCTCCAGCACCTGAAACAGGCGGCGCCCCAAGTGCCCAGCTCCGCCCTACCTCGCTGGCTGGGCCTGGAGAGTGATAGGACGGCGAGAGAAATACCGAGCCGCGACGGGCAGATCCCGTGCGGGATAAGTTAGGGACTTGCCCATAGGTCCGGTGCCAGAAGGGTTGGAGGAAACTTTCCATCGCGCAGCGCAGAGCGCAAAAAAAAAAAAAAAAAAAAAAAGAGCAGGGTACGGGCCACTAGTAGCGATCACGGGAATTCAGGTGGCGCGGCAAACAAGGACTGAGCACTAGTTTGGGTCAAAACAAAAAACAAACGATTTCTGTCACCGGTGGGGTCCTCTGCACCTCAAGGGCTAGGAGTTTTGGCTCCTGAACCGCGTGGGCACCTTGTGTTGGCGACCCGCCACCCGGAAATCTTTGGGTGGGTGCTGAGACACGCGCTGGGGCCGCGTTCAGGGAGCCGGGAGCTCCTGGCGGGTTCTGGCTATTGTGATTTAACTTAACTGGTTTTCTCGCTTTCATTCAAGGTGTGATGGAGAGAAGCCTCCAAGAGCGCAGACCAGGGTCGATTGGCTGCGTTCATTTCAACTCCCATCCAGTCCTTCTATTCACTTGGACCGCTGAATAGAAGGTACACATGGCAGACGTCAAGTAGAGGACATAGGCAGGACTCGCAGGAGACGCGATTCCAAAGCAGCTCTTGGAGAATTCTGAGCTAAAATTCACTCTCCCGTAGTAGTTCCATTCAGCATCTATGAATATGGAAAACGGGCCATTGTATTTAAAACATGCCAGCACTTCCGTCCCTTAAATCCACTCTTCCCTTCCAAGAACCCAAAACGCGGTCCTGGGAAGGCTGTCTGGTATTCTGATGGTTTCACACTGAATCAGATGTAGACCCGTTTTTATTCCACTTTTTATACTTCCTTTTAAATTCAACGAGATCACCCCTGGTAGGTAAGAAGGTCGTACCTGGCTCCAGAAAGGTGACATGCGGATGCCGTCTCTCCATCAGCGTTCCCATGTTAAACTGGTAGCTCTCCCTCACGGTTTCTTCCATATCTCCGAGTCATGTGAGCTTTAAATATTCATGCGCCAGCCCAGAGCTACATCACTTTAATGTGTTTTAAACTAATTCTATTTTAATGTAGTATCATCTGGTCCCTTGAAGGACAGGAGTATAGGGGAGCCTACTTCACACTTGCAGTTTCGAGTTGGGGCTGGCAGAGAAGGCTGGCGGAGGCAGCCTCTGAGTAGGCCCTTGAATGTTCTCGCACACTTCTTTTGCCATTTTCCCCTCCTAACTTCAGAGCTGTGGGAGCGGCTCACAGCAGGACTTGGGATGCCATGTGGACCCACAAATTGTCCAAGTGAAAACCTTAGTTTCCCAGATAGGCTGTGGGCTGATTTAAAAAAAAAAAAATGTATTATTTTGAGGAGGAAATCTTAGAACGAAGTCAGGGGACTGCAGGACGTAAAGCCTGGAGAAGGTGGCCAAAATCAACGGGTGTCCTCTGCTTTTTCTGTTGTTTGTTTTTGTTTTTTAGATTTGTTGCTAATTATCTTTTGTTTATGGGCTGGAGCAGCTGTTTGCTGGAGGAGGGAAGCAAGGCTTTGGGGCCAAAGGGTCCTCTTGGAGATGAACTCTGAAGCCAGTCCCCATTATCTGGAGACAACCCAAAGCGCTTAACTTCTGCACTTGGTACGGGAGGTGAGATGCAGACCCTTGGAAATGGAGCACAGAAAGCCGGTGTCTCCTATCCTGATTTGTTCGTGGTCCAATGAAAGCCATTTGGAAGACCAAGCTGCTGCAAGGACGATATGAACAGAGAACAAGAAAGCCATTTTTTCCCTCTGAATTGGAACATATTTCTGATGGGACTTAGAACACTTACTCATTACATTGGGGAACTCCAACCCACTATTTCCTGAGATCCAAAGTGGGACGTTAAATCCTGTTAAAAGTTCTAAAGACAGAATCTTCAGACTAAATTATTCAGACCAAAATGTCGTGGCAGCTTCAAGTTAAAACCAATTTTCAGATATGTGTTGGAGATTTTCAGGTGAAATCTTCCTAAATGTCCCGAGCGGGAGGGGGGAGGAGGATCAACTAGGGAAGATCGGCTTAGATTTTATATTTACAGTATAGGTTAATATATATACACATAGGAGGTATATGTTCACATATATTCTTTGCCCAGTCAGGCAAGGAGCTCACAGCTGGGCTATTCTTTCTTCAAAACAAATTCTTAGAAACAAGAATTTGGTAAAGGGAAAAAGAGTCCCCCACCCCCACCCCCCTTTTTTTTCTCCTAGTTTGGTATGCCAGTTGGTATTTGATTTCTCATGCAATTTACACATAGATTCCTTGTACCCTGCAAAGTGATAAAAGAGAACAGTTGAGTCAGGGATGAGAACCTGCCGGGGTCCTGCAAGCGGTGTCTCAAAGCACCCCCTCAGACACAGGTTCCTAGTGGTGGGGAGTTGGCTGCCTTGAAATAGGGCTGACCTTTTGTCTTTTGACCTCTGATGCATGAAATTAGGTAGCAAAAGAAAATGCCAAGAAAAGGATACAAAAACATGGAAAACCCAGTCCTGCTGGACAATAGTCATTGTATCAGATCATAGCGAAGCAGCCTGTTCTGCTCAAGGGCTTGTTTAGGAGGCTCCTGGTCTCTTCCTGGCCGGGGAGGTTCCTGTCCTCCTTTGTGGGCGATGATCTGCATTTGTTGAGGGTTGGGGGGAGATTAAGCACTCTTTTTAATTAAGCTCAGAGCTGAGTTTTGTCCTCAAAGCCTTTGCTCCCTCCATTTCCGCAGAGGCCCTCTGGGTCTGTGCCGCGCCTGCCAGCCAGCCAGCGAGCCAGCTGGAGCAGCTTCCAAGACTCACAGGAAAACTCTGCCTCCCACCCCCACCCCTTCAAGGCTCTTATGGCCACCCAGGCCGACGCTGAATCCCAGCTGGCATTGAGGCTGGGGAGGGAGTATGTTTTCAGGTACTGAAGGGTCAGATGTCCCAAATATCTGGCCTTCTGCTGTCCCCAGACTCCGGCAGGGAGCCTACGGCTACTGAGGATTCCTGTCCCCTTGATCTAACAGGCAGCCTGGTGCCTTCCCATCTTGAAAACCAGAAGGGCATAGAATGCCGCTTTGCTCTTCACAGCCACCCAGGCAAGGGCACACTCAGCATAAGACTGCACCACAACATCACTGGAGCACACATCAGAAAGAGCCCTCACTTTAGACCATCCTGTGAGGATGGGTGGAAGCAAAGGGAGGAGCCGGCAGATCCCCACACAGCAGGTGGTCAGGCAGCAGGGAGGGGATGGGGTGGGGAGGCACTGTGGACAAGTGGAAGAGGGAGGAGAGAGACCTGTTTGACCAGGTGATCTAGGATGGGCCTGCCTGGGGGAAGAGGATTTGACAGGGTAAAGGAAGACACAGAGGGTGTAATTAACATGCCCATTTTGCAGAGAAGGCTTCTGGTTATCAGCACAAGAACAAAATGCTGGGGAAGGACCTGACCAAGGGCTGGGGAGATGCGTGGGTGTGTGATAAGAATGACTATCACTTCAAAGCAAGGGAGTAAGCAACAGGAATGAAGGTAACACCTCACCTGTGATGGCCAGCAGCTGCAGGATGAGCACCTGGAGCTCAAGGCCACAGGAGGGGGAAGTTCATGTCATCTGCTCCTTGTAGGGTTGTGCCTACACCTCAGCCTGGAGTGATACCCACATGCCACAGGAAGTCCCCCACTGCCAGGATCTCAAGATCCCCCTTCCCGGTCCCTTGTGGGTTGGAGAGGAGAACTTCCCCAGGAGGGGAAAAGTTCCATCTCTCCACACCAGCTTTCCCAGCCATAGCCCATGCCATTCCCTTACTACCGTAGCTTCCATGTTTCTGTGTGAGAAGAATCACATGCAGATCCAGGCACCTCAGACCCAGATCTTGATGCAGCAATGTGGGACAGGGCTTTCAACCTGAGCAGAGGCACATGCAGGGTGTAGCTGACCATCTGTTGGAAAAATACTGGCTTAAAAGTTTTTCTGGGGCAAAGACCAGACCACTGTATGACTCAGTGCCCACACCCCTTCCTGCCCCCTCATCAGGCCAAAATCTGTCTAAGCATCAAGGACCTGGGAACTCCATCAGGGTGGCTGCTACCAGATCCCCAAAGAACCAGCAAACCAGCAGCCATGTTTGCAAACCATCCCCCAACGTGCTCCCAGAGAAACAGCTGTGGCAATGGATGTGTGCCCTCCTCCCTTTTTTTTTTTTTTTTTTTTTTTTTTGCTTATTTGAAAGGTGTAGTAACAGGGAGAAGGAAAGGAGAGACCCAGAGAGAAAGAGATCTCTCTGCTAGTTCATTCCCCAAATGCCTGCAACAGCCAGTGCTAGGTCAGACTGAAGCACAAGGCCTGGAACTCCACTAGCATAGCCTATATGGTGGTAGGAACCCAAATGCTTGGGCTGACAGCTACCACCCAGACCCATTAGCAAGAGGTTGAGTCAGAAGCAGAATGAGCAATCCCAGGTGATTTGGTAATAGAATGTAGGTGTCCCAGGCAGGTCCTTAACTTGCTCTGCTACAACACCAGTCCCCCAATTTTGATCCAGTTCTATTTGCAAAATAATAATAATAATAAGTTTTTTCTTCATCCTACGGGGAAATCAGAACTTCCTGCCTTCCAATTGTTCACAGTCACATCACAGAAATAAGCCTACAAGAAAGGAGCTGATAGGATTTTAATGAAATATAATTAGGAAAATGAAGGCAGAGTTGTTCCTTCCTGCCAGAAGACATCTTTTTTTTTTTTTAACATGAGCTCTGTTTTTTCTCCAAAGATTTATTTGCTTTTTATTTATTTATTTATTAAATTAGATATACAAAGAAAAGGCAATACAGAGAGAGAGAAAGATCTTCCATCTGTTGGTTCACCCGCCAAGTGGCCGCAACAGCTGAAACTGAGCCAATCCAAAGCCAGAAGCCAGGAGCTTCTTCTGGATCTCCCATGTGGGTATAGGGTCCCAAGGCTTCGAGCCATCCTTTACTGCTTTCCAAGGCCACAAGCAGGGAGCTAGATGGGAAGTGGAGCAACCGGGACACAAACTAGCACCCATATGGGACCCCGGGGCACTCCAGGCAAGGAGTTAGTCACTAGACTATCACACTAAGGCCCAGGAGAAGTATTAAGAAGAGTTCTCAAATGAGAGTGCTGGACCTGGGTGTGGGAGACTGACTTTGGAAGCTTGGGAGAAGGATGCTGAAGACCAATGGTTCCATGAATTAATGGGAGAGAAAGAGAGAGAAAGCGCTCTCCTGCCCTCTGGTTCACTCTAATTGGCTACCACGGCTGTAGCTGAGCTAGTCCGAAGCCAGGAGCCAGTCTGTCATATGGGTGCAAGATCCCAAGGACTTGGGCCATCATCTGCTGCTTTACCAGACCATAAGCAGGGAGCTGGACCAGAAGTGAAACAGCAGGGACTCGGACCAACGCTCATATGGGATGTCAGCATTGCTTACCCAGCAGGCCACAGTGCCAGCTCCACAAATAAACAGCTGTTTGAGTAAAACAACTTAAGAATGAGTTATTGTGCTGTTGAGGAAATCTTCCCTGAATTGGGCCTCTCTAGCCCCTGGCTCCAGTGCCCTACTTTTTATCACATCCTAGAGGTGAGGATTCACCTCCTGACCTCCCTGCTGGCTAACTTGTAAATTGGGGAGGTTCCTTACCTCCCTCTCCTCCCACCTCTCAGGGCTGGTGAAGAATAAACGATAACAACAGCTGGACACATTCACCAAGAAGTACCATTAGCATGGGTTTACATTCGCCAGTGCTGCTCAAGGAAGATCTTCTTTTCGCTGACTAAATATATTTTTCCTTTGTTCGGGTAGCTGATGGCATAGCATTTGACAGGCATTTTGAGTAAAGGTCTGTGTAGGAAGAACCCGACAGTACTCAGGTGTTAAAAAAAAAGTGTGCATTTCTTTTTGAAAGCCTCCTTTTCTAGCACTGAAAGAGAGAAAGCAAAGAACAAAAAATTCAACTCGAGCACATCTGAGAGCCATAGGTTAACAGCTGTCATGATACTGCTCAAATTCTGAAAAGACAGCATTGGATCTGGCTGGTTTAAACTACAGCTGGGCAGGGCTAAAGGGGTGGGGGGAGGGGGAAGGGGCTTGGAACATGGGGGAAGATGAAATGACATAATTGCCGTCAATACTGTGGTAATGAGGCGACCTCTATGATATACATATACCATGAACACCACACACACACACACACACACAGGAGCCAGTGAATTGTGGAAAGAATTTCCTGCTGGACAAGAAGCCTCAGGAGGATGAGTCAGAAGTGCACTCAGAATCAGCTCCTTCCTTCGGGAATCTTCCAGGGGAGAAACCAGAGTAGACCAGTCTCTAAGATGGTACAGCTCCTAGTTTACCAATGAAGACATGCTGATTAAGGACTAATAAGTGGGTAAGCAGCTCATGAATGGCACAAAGACTTGGGGTCATGAGCCTTATTAAATTCTGTGAACCGTAGCTAGGCTTGCCATCCTGCAGCAGCCCAGCCATCAGTGGCTCAGCACAAGGTTGAATACCTCCAGGGACCAGAACCTCACCGGTCCCTCGTGCTGGGGAGATGCCTGTCAGTGAGTCAGCATCAGCTTCTGTGTAGCTTCCATCTGCTTGTCCTAACTCCTCCCATTGGGGGTCATGAGCACCAAGAACTAGGAGACAGGGTGTCACGGTGAAGGCTGCTGCCAAAAGACCTGCTCTGTGAGCCGGTGTGAGAGCAGTTCCCTCTCCCTTGTACCTCTGTATGAATAATCCTAGCTGGAAGAGGTGGCCAGTCTGGGAAGGCCAGGTGGGTGAAGTACTAGCAGTGACAAGTGGGGGACAGTGAAATGGGACTGAGAGCTCAGTCTGCAGAGAGCCACATCCCCAACCCCACGTGGGTTTTGTTCATCCCAGTTTCACAGATACAGCAGCAAGTACAAGCCTCAGAGAAAGCAAGAGCTGGCCAAGATCCCGCAGGCAGCAGGTGTCAGAAGTGGTCATTGGA